CGGTGGGAACTTTGTCGTTGTGACCCCTCTTGCGCAGGGCGGGTTCGGCCAATACGCTAGCTACACGGCTCATTACTAACGGCATGCGCTGGAGCATGGGAACTGAGAGGCTGGACGACACTTTGGCATCGATCCGTGCACTTTTGTTATGGAAGAAACAAAAAGAGCTTGGGGCTACAAAAAAGATTTGTCGCGCATTTCACTGGCCAAAACAACTAAAGCCGTCACGCAAAATTTTGGCTGTTATAATTCCCGTCACTTCTTTCTCCCGCGTAATGAACCCTCCCCCAAATCGGTGTCAGCTTTTCTGAAAAAAGATGGGTTTATTACGTGAGTAAATGTGGTATGTTTGAGTGTATAATTAGAAGTGGTAGTCAGCACCAGTCCAATTAAGTTGAAAACTATGGGTGTCATGTGTCAATTCCCGATTTCGCCGCAAACCCGCATAAACGACGACCCCTAGGAGTCGCAAGGCAACAAGACATTGAAGTGTAGGGATACTAATGAGTGACATTTTAAGCATCCCAGCCTTGCATCTGCCCGGTGGCGGTGGTGGGGCGGGTTCTCAATCTTTTAGTCGTTTGAAATGTGTGCCTTCAGAAAAGATGTGCTTTCAAAACAGCGGCAACATGCAGGTAGCAAGTCTTATGATTTTTGTGACATCCGCGCGTAATGGTTCGCCTATTCTTTTTTGAAATATAACGAAACTGATAAATGTAAATCTGAATAAATTTGTGATGTACGCGAACTTCTGCTGATTAGTGGTTGCTTCAGCAATTTGCACACTTGCACTGCTGGTTACCCGCAACGTTTACTTCTAAAAATTACACCATCTCCCGCTAAAGGGAGCCATACGTGGATGCAAAGCAGCAGTGAAATGGTTTGCTTGAGCGGGATCGTCACATCGCTGCTCCTGTTTTCTGGCAGTGGCCCGAGCCTTCTTTTCCTCAACGCTGACGTTGGCACTGGCGTTAACACTTACACTGGCAGCATTGTTGACGTTGGTGCTCATCGCAGCGTTGCGCAGGAGAAAATGAGGTGCTCTCTGTTGTTTTATATGACGAAACTACCGTGGTGCCCTTAGTGGAGTATGCAGCGGTCGTACCACCAGTTGTGTGCGCCGCCTCGTAGAGTAGAAAATTCTTGGAAGGGAGAAAGGGCGAGGGTATGCGCCTGCGCAGTGGGGGTGCAGATGCCATGGGAGGGATTAACAAAGCGCTTGTTTTAAGCTGCTTCGCATCTAAAACTGCAGTGATCATGTTTTCCAGTCAAAATACACCGCGAATTCCGTCTCACTGGCCATAATTAAGTTCTTTATTTTTACCAGAAAGAATGGTCGAATGGATGCATCATGACATGCTGACACTGCGGGTTGCTGGTGACATGCTGCTCGCGTGTTATCACTGTGTTGCAGTGAAGCATGTCTTTTGCTAAGTGCACATTTAAGTTGTCGACAAGACCTTTTCTTTTACTTCTTTTTCTCGTTGGCAGCAGGGAGGCCCACAATCTTTCGTGTTTGCGACAAAATGGGGCTAGGTATTGCTGGAAAGCATAACCTTTAGAGCCGCAAGCTAGCCGGCACAGCAAATGGCTACCTCTTATTACTTGCAGTTTGTATAAAGTTCCAAAACGGGCTTGTTAGTATGGCTTGTTTGAATCACAAAGGTAGCACAAGGTAATGGGACACATGTGCACGTAGTGTTGTGTTGTGTCTTCGAGTTCCTTTTGTGTCCCATTAGCTTGAGCTACCAATAATATTCAAATATGCCACTTTTTGTATGTTTTGATTATTGGAAAACCCGCTTAATCCAAAGATCTTTCACAGTCCTTGTGACTGAATAAATGAGGTTTTACTGTACTTCAGTATAAAAGTTCTGGAGAATTTACTGCATTTTTGAGCAGTACGTGGGGATCACTCTTTATTTATTTCTTTTTTTTTGCGGTTAACAGTTGGGTGTGCGATTTTTAATGTATGGTTGAGTCATGGGCAAGTAAATACAGTATTTATTTAAACTGCATCTGAGTATCTTCACATGCAGAGTGCAAAAATTGCCCATAAGTACATATCTTTTATTCACCAAAAGGGCCTACCTTTACAATGGTGAACACCAAACTATGGATGTTTATTTAAAGTATGTGATTTTTCTTTTTTTTGCATGCAGCACGAACTTTGCAACAGCATGAAAGCCTCCAACTTGTTCACATTGGAGATTGATTACCCGCCGTTATCGTAACAGTCATTGTACAATGAGTTGCTTAAAAGTCTGCAATGTTGTCTTCAAGGTTCATTTATTTGCAGCCCATACTAACTTCGCCCGTGATGTGCTGCTAAATACTGTATTTACTCTAACCTAGGCCGACCCCGATTCTATGTCGACCTCCTAAAGTCCAAAGCCAGGTGGCTGAACAAAACAGCAAAGACAGTGTTCACAAAGAGAAAACATTTATTGAACATAAAGATGAAACAAAGCAGTTTGTTCATGTTGCAAATAACTTCAGAAACGTGCAGCTTTTTTTCGCGCTGCTTCTAGTCATTTGCATTATAAAAATGCTGCGCTCATTCCGAGTCGTCGCTGTTGACTTCTTTGTCGCTGTTTTCAAACAGTGTGCAATCTTCAGTGCCATCAAGCGCATTGGATATCCAGCACTTTTTGAAATACTAACGCATAAAATTTCTGGGATGTTTTCCACTCCAAATTACCGCCTGGCTTGAACGTTTGACGATGACTCCGCGACTAGGACAACTTTCGTTTTATAAGCGGCACTATAATGACACTGCCTTGCGCCATTGAACTACGCCACACACAAACCACCTGAAGCTCGCCTCAACACTCGCCAGAAAGGTTAAAATGGTGACCTCACATGTGTGTTTTAACCAAGTGTTTGCTTGGCTACTAATGACTACAATACCGTCTAGGTGGCACTAATTGTGCACCACTGTTTTTCAATGAAAAATGGCAAGTTTTTCAACATCCTTGCATCTAAGCCGACCCCTGAGTTTGATACAAAGAAATTTGAAAAGAACTATCGGCCTAGATTTGAATAAAGTTGGTATCTCCGTATGTGCTACCTATGGTTACAGGACTTGGGTAAAGCCGTGCACTTTTATGGCGCGAGAAGGTGCACCTTCATGCACTTTCTTGTGCTTTATCTTTTGTTTCTGCCATGTTGCACCAACACGCCTAAGCATCCATGTTAGCTTGCACTTTCATTATGAACGGGGGCATCAAAATTTGCACATCACTGGGAACAGATATACACCCACAGAACCTAGGTGAACCCTGTAGGCCTACTAGCAGCCCTGCATTTTGATGAAAATGTGCGCTTACAGTTTAACCCTTTTATAAGAGGCATGCTCCGAGCAGCAGTTCTTGTCTTTTATACAAGATGTCCCTTATAAGCAGGGTTCATTGTGTGCATTTTCTTATCAACACGTATTTTACTGTAGGCACACTGGTGCCTCTTATACCCCTTTGTCTCTCTTATCAGTGTCTCACGTAAAGGGAATTCTACTGTATTTTGAAGGATATTTTGGGAAGTATAGCACTATTAATCCGGTATTCTTTTTACAGCGAAGGCTGCTAGCAATGAAATCACAAGAGCAGATTTTGGTGGCGTAGTTGTCTGCCAGCAGTGATGGAAGTGCTGCTTCGATTGCTCCAAACCTCCGAAATGACACTGGGAGAATGACTAGCTTTCACTGTTTGACCGACTCATAAGTCGCAAAGAAACGGAAAAGAATCTGTCTACTATCATCTCAGTGTGCTCCTAGTGTGCAGCATTATCGGTTCCAATCTCATTTGTGTGACAACAACTGGCATATTAAGCATACAGCTCATTTGGCTGTTTTTTTTCTCTCAGCTAGACATGCAGACTAATGTGGTTAAATGTGAAAAATGAGCAGGATTCTTTTTATCTTATACTGATTATCTACTGCTTATTTAACAACATTTATATGGTACTCTGGTCATTTCCAAAATGTGGCACTCAGATTCTCCGGTTTGATTTGATTTCTGTCACAAATACTGCTATATTAAATTTTAGCTCATTTCACAGCACATATAGGACAACGCGTCATTGTTTGCTTCATAAAATTGACATTGATTGTTGTCTGTTAAATATATTGGTATTTATGAGACGACATTGCTTTGACAAGGCTCTGAACTCCCAATTAATGTGTGGCAAACTTAGTATCTGCTCCTGAAACATCAATCACTGCTTTAAACTAGCATTTTCTGCTCTAAAAACACTTATGGCTGCTTCAAAGCAGTACATTTCCTTCTCCAAAGTATGCTCCAAAAAGTAAAAAGTCACTTCCATCACTGTGCCAGTGTTCGTAACCGCTATCACGAAGGATGCAAAAATAGATATCCAGGATAGAGTGGAAAAGATTGTTAGCTTATGCTAGTTGGTGATTTAGCATTGTTGCATTTACACAGCACAAATTCTAAGAGGATGTGATCCCTTACTGACATGATACCTGTGTAAGTGCTATTCCAATGAAATTTGAAGCAGCTCTGTTATGGAATTCTCAATTTGTGCACAGAGGATCTGGGTTCAAATCCTACTCAATACATTGATTTGGATAATTTAGTGATTCGGCGCTCTGGAAAGCATTCTTTCTTGAGATCCGCAATGGATGGAAATATTTGCATATCCCTTCATGAGAACTTAGTCTTCCAGTGTAAAATGGCAGCAGTGACCCCTATGTACTTCTAAACGTGTAATTCGAAGGTGCCCTAAATGCAAAACTACCTACTCTGAAATGCTCCTAAAATAAAATTCTGCTGATCCCAAAGTTGCTCTAAATCAAATGTACTTGGTACCTTCACTGTGAGGTGCTCTGCACAAGCGTCACTGTCACACCGTGTGTCTGTGGTGCTTAATTTAAACACATATAGCACTCGGCGTTATTAACCCGCAACTTTGATTCGTATGTGTGTTTGAGCAATTTGCAACAAGAGTGCATTTTGAAATAAATGGCTTGATGGCTGTTTCAGGGATGAAGACTGGAATGAGTTCAACGACATCAACAAGATCATCATACGCCAGCCCATTCGTACTGAGTACAGGATTGCTTTTCCATACTTGTACAACAACATGCCACACTATGTACATCTTTCATGGTGAGCTAGCTTGTTATCTTGATACGCAAGCAGAGTAGACCTGCAGATGTGTTTTGTTTGTACTGGTTGCAATAATGGTTGCTGAAGCCACATGCTTCAACTGGAGGCAGCATAAAAAAAAAAAAAAATGAATGTATCGCTGAACCTCAATAAGCTCAAACATTTTATAACATAACCGCTTATAGTGCAAGACCAGCTGTAGAGCGGTTTTTCCGACTCCTGTTCTGCCCTCCCATAAAACATCATGTGCAGTTTAAACCCGCAATAACGAAATCGGCAGGGAAAACAAAAAAGCTGGCTGTTGTGGTAGTTTTGTTGGCACGAGTATTCCCTGTCTTATACTCTTCGGCACGAGTATAAGACATGGAATTGACTAAAAACACATGGTATTGCCGAAAGTCAATACTGCTCCGTGGCGCCACGTAGTAAATATATTTCTCTCACGCCTTTTCCCCATAACAATACGTTTACTTTGCCAAGGTTTTCTGCTGTTCACAACACCATGCAAACACTGCTTTGTCCACGTCCCGGAACGCTGCAGCTATCACGGTTTTGTTCTTTCTTGCTCTCTCGCTATTTTCAAGCGCACCAAAAATGGAGACCTTGTTCTTAATCATTGTGGACAGCGAGCGAGCTGCACTCAATGCTGAACTTGTCGGTAATGCCCATTTTCCCCTGAACTTTTCCACCTCAGTGATAATCGCAGCCTTATCTTCTAACGTGACGAACTTCCGCTTTTTCGTTGGAGGTGGCATCCTTGCGGGCAGACAAATTGGGCTCTATGATTGCTACATTTAGTTCACGTTGCTTTGAGCGAACACAGAGACTGCTACTGCTCCACTCACGCCACCATGTATGGCAGCAACGGCTTTGCAAAGCCGACAAAGCCCGCGAGCAGCAGCGAACGGAACTCCATGTGGATTACGCAGTTACGTGTCAGCATAACAAGCCGATGTTACCGTCCCAGCCCATCAAAATATTACCACTTGCCCAGTGGCACGTGTTACCCACAATCATACGTCGGCGAACTCACTCATGAGATACTCAATCGGACTTTCTAAGACTCAAATTGAGCCATTAGTTTGAGTATGAGTGAGTCCAAACCGCAATATGTATTTCTTGAGTGAGTCTGAGGGAGTTGTACTTTCTTTTGCCGACCAAAGGTCCTATCTGGTTATGTTCAGCATTACTATCAGTCTTACTTGGATTCCTGTTTATACTTATGCATACTCACAGGTATTCCAAAGCAGTGTCATTCATACACCATTTCAATACAGTATAGACCACTTATATCGTAACCGCTTATAATGCAGGACCGGTTACAATGAATTTTTTTTGTTCCTGTTCACCCTCCCATAGAACCCCATGTACTATACGCATAGTTGTTATCATGCTTGCTACAGATATCGCGTTTGCTACCGTAAATTAGAAACTAGGCTTGTGCGAATATTCGAATGCTTTGAATATTCGAACGAATAGTTGAGTATTTGAATTCGCTTCGATTCGAATATAAATTATCGAATATTTTCGAAGTATTTGCAATGAACAAATAAATGTATATTAATCCGCATGTCATCGCCTGTAAAGGTGGTTTCACTGCAATGTAAGAGTGCTAAGCCGTGAAAGCACATATTCAGGGGAAATTTGCTTTGCCGCGAAGCCCCTCTTTAAATTTAAAGGGGCTCTGCAACACTTGTTGAGCATGGTCAGAAAACGCTGCCGATTGGGTGTCGAGGCTACCGAGAATACGCGAGGCAACTATTATAGTGCAGCACGTGGCCTGTAATTCACAATAAATTTTCAAAGCAAAAAATATTTTTCTTTCCTATACAAATGACACTACAACCTCAAAAATCACTTGTCGGCCATTGGCTGATTTGAGCACGACGCGCTCCTCGTTATCGGGGCCACCGTCGGAGGCCGCCGCTTGTCCACGAGTGCGAGTGCGATCACACTGAAAAGCCACGTATTCGAAGAAAAAAAAAAAAGGACGTGCTCAAGGTCACAAGGTGCGTGTGACGTATTTTCTTTCGCCGTGACATTCCTCTATGCTTAATTTCCAGCTATTTTGTGTTGATGAGAAGAGCAAGTGCAATTGCAGGGTGTGACAAATTTTTGGAACGCCGTTCGTGTTGGACTAATTCTAGAAACTTTGCGGTGGTAAATTTGTGAGGTAATAAGCATGTTTACTGGCTCCATGGCTACTTGAAAAAGTTTTTCAGGGCCCCTTTAAAGGAACATGTTACCGTATTTACTCGATTCTACCGCGCCCTCGATTGTAACGCGCACCCGATTTCCACGACGAAAAAAAAAACAAAAAACAACGTAAGACATCGATTGCAACGCGCACCCATTTTTCTCGCTCACACCACTTGCACGATCACACCACTCGAAAAAACGACTCCTTTCGGGAGCATCTTCCATTTAAATATGAGGTACGGGCGAAGCGTGTGCCCATCTGACGTGTAACAGAGCATTGCCGTCACTGTAGTTTTACCGTGGACCGATGTCAGCACGCGAACTTGCTTCGCCCCCTTCTTCTCGACAGTTGTGGTGCCAGGCATGTCGAAGTAAAGAGGCGTCTAATCGGCATTCCCGATTTGCCCAAGCAGGTAGCCGTTGTTGTGCCGCAAGTTTAGGATGAACCTCTGAAAACTGTGAAGCTTTTCATCGTACTCCTCCGCAAAACTTTTCGCATATGCCCGTTCCCCTTCGGAGGGAAAAGCCTTTCCTCTTCATAAAGTTAGTTAGCCAGCACCTGCTCGCTTTAAACTGGCTCCGCATTAGACCTTTTTCTAAGGCTAACTGCATAGCCCGCACTTGGAGCAGTTCTGTCGTCACGGGCCGCTGTGTCGCTCGCTGCTCAAGCACATACTCGCCGAGCAGCTCTTTAATTTGCGGAAACCGATCCTGCTGTGCTCCACTGAAGCCTTTGCGTTAAGCTTTGCTGTCGACGATCTTCTGCTTTTGTTTCCCCCAGTCCAGCACGCACGTTTCGGGAACTCCGAACGACCGCGATGCGGCCCGTTTTCCGTCCGTTTCTGCACACACGATGACTTCCCTTTTAAAAGCGGCATTGTGGTGCACTCGAGTTTTTGGAGTCGGCACTACAAGATGACGAACTCCTCAGCACACATACGAAGTGCCGCACATGGGAAACACATAGGCAGAAATGGCCGACGCGCCATGCCGACGCACGTAGGGGGCGGCCATTTTAGAAATGCCGATGGCAATAGAATGACCGTGTTCATTTTTTTTTTTTTTCGTACTCGATTCCAACGCGCATGCGACTTATGAACTCGCTTAACTGGAAATAAGGTGCACGTTTGATTCGAGTAATTATGGTACCCTCAAATCAATTCTTCATTTTATTAAGCTTGTTATGACGGCTTATATGCTCCAAGTATAATAAATTTTAAAACGTTAGTATCTTACAGGTTATCACTTGCATCCTACCGAAACTACTACTGAAAGTTGTTTCGACTTCTTTTGAACAAAAAAAAAAAGGACATTTGCATAGAGCCTCTGTTTCAATTAAAAGGAAATGTTGTTCAGGTTAGTTAGGTCCTGATAAATATTCCTTTTTTTCATTATATGTCATACATACCATTTGAATTCGATTCAAAATTATTTGATCAAAATCATAATCCACTCAGAATTTGCTTCGAACCTAAAATTCACTATTCGCACAAGCCTACTAAAAACCTTTTACCGCTTTGTTGGGAGCTTTCGCCTTTGCGACCAGTATGCAGTATAGCTTGGGAGGTTTTCGTCGTCATTGATCTCCTGGTTGTGAATGCGAACTTCGTATGAGGCACGTTGTCCTTGGTTCATTGCGTGAGTGCGTTTTTTTCGACGGCAGACCTTCATGTATTGAACAAGCCTTCACGTTTTGAACAAACTTCCCGCGACAACGTACTAAACGGCAGGTTAGGCCTAATCAGAGTTGGTTGAGCGTTCGGTTGTGTGCTAAGTTGCAGTTTTTTACGGAATCAACAAAGCTCTCTGCGATGGCTGCGCTTGATTGTAACCCATGCAAAGAAATATTGCCAGGCCTGCGTGGAAGGCGCAGCACAGTCACAGCGAAAGCTAGAAGAGCGGCCTTTCAGAGCCTTTTCGAAACACTCATTGGGTAATTACTGGAAGCACACTTGCTTGATACTCACTAGGTCATTATTGATAAATTTATTTGGGTAGTAAGCCTGCATTAGCTATGCTATTTTTCGTCATTCTTCTAAGAATAGTGGTATCTGCTAAACACTTGCAAGTAATTTTGTGTCAATGGTTCATGCTGTGGCTGACGACGATGAGGAATTATTGCTGAAGTGGGTATATGCCACAGTTAATAGGGCAACAAGAACAAGCTTTTGTTATGGGTTGGAGCATTGCAGAGCGCACTCGTTACGCTATTCGCATTGTGTGTTGACCGGTTGTTCTTTGGCTGTTGTAAAATGCTTTATAAGTAGTATTAACACGATTGCTTTCCTGACATCAAGCCTGCCTAAGGCAAGTTTGACAACAAGTCACAAACACCTGTGTAGCTCAGTGGTAGAATACTGGGCTGGCACGCAGTGGACCCGGGTTCGAACCCCACTGTGTCATTGGTGCTAGGTCAAGCCTGCCTAAGGCAAGTTTGGCAACAAGTTACAAGCACCGGCGTAACTCAGTGGTGGAATAGTGGTCTGGCACCCAGCGGACCCGCGTTCGAGCCCCACCGTGTCATTGGTGCTAGGTTTTTTTTCTAATTTCGCGCGATGTGGCTACGGACACCGGCGGCGGCAGTGGCGGCATGACAAGTGCGCGTGACCTAAGTTGTGATCTCATGACAGCTTTCTTTGTAATACTGCTTAAGCCACCTTCACCGCAGTATGCCAGTCCACAGTGTAAAAAGCGTATTTGAGATTAGGAAGATGCTGTTAGCGCTATTCACGGGATACTGCGCATTTTGCTAGGTTACTCATGCGTTTGTACGCCACATCATTCTGAGTACCAATATAATA